ACTTCATGGAAACTGAAATTTACATTTCTTAGTCACTGTTCTTTGACTCTGGAAAGATTATTTCAGAACAAGGAATTTAGAGAAGGGATGTAAAAATGTGGTTAAAAATGTAATCATGTAACAGCTAAAAATCCCTGCCGTTACATGGCTGCATTTTGCAGTATAAAGATAAAATAAGCTTTATATTCAGAGCCTACAGTGCAGCCTCCCCAGGAGTGGGGAGCCAGCATGTAACCTGGTGTTATGGAGAGCAACATTTTGTTGTATATATATTTCAGTACAGGCCAGCTCATCCCACTGGTTAGGTTCTTCCTTGTAATGGAATGTGATGTTAGTACTGATTTGAATCTGAAGTCTTATGGTCTAAAGAGATAAGCCAGGCTATCAGTAAAAATACAGTTGAAATTAAACTTAGGTACAGTATCTGACATAACTCTTACAAAAATGTGTTGATTGCCATTGTATTATGCTGTTACTGGAGCAAGTGGGAAGCATCAATCTTTACAGTGTTTATGGAGGACCAGTTATTTAGCAATAACACTGCATATTTCAGAGCAACTACAATGTGATTTCTGATCTCTGATAGTCTGCTTATTAGAGTTGATGATGTTGTAGAGTTATGGAATATGCCATTGTGCCAGTGACCTTGCTAAAATCTGCCATTAAATTGTTCAGCATTGTTGTTCTTAGAGGGTTTAGGAGAAATTGATAAGCAAACATAATGGACCTGGGCACATTCATATTGAGACTGCTCTTGCTCCCATTAAAATAAGTGACAAAACTTTCATTAACTCTACTAAGAGCAAGTTCAGGATTTTAAGCAGAGACAATGGGCCAATTCTGCTTTCACTGAACTAGCTATCAATCTGAGAAAACCCTTCCGAAAACAGTGATGTTACTGCAATATACACTAAAGTAAGAATAAAATGTGAATCAAGGATTCACATCAGAATAAAACAAAGTGATAAGATTGCCCCCTTACTTCTTCCTCATTGCACTTCAGTCTATACGAGGCGAGATCATGATCTGCTGAAGGTAGAAGGGAATTCATTCTGTGGGCCATATCAACTGGTGTAAATTCACATAGGTATGCTGACATCGAGAGAGCTGTGCTGACTTTCAACATCCTTTATATTTCTATTTTGAGGTTTCCCCACACACTAACAAGATTGTCTCTCTTACCCTTCCCCCAACACGCCTTCCCTAAGATGGAGGGCCAGGTTCCATCTTCTGGTTCTGCCTATAAAAATTAACTTTTTACTGTTAATAACAGAAAACATATTTCACATGTAAACTGACCTGAATCAAGGTAAACACTTTCATTTCAGACTTTCAGAGCCACCTGAAAGTAATTTTTAAATACTTTTATTGTGGCTAAATTAAAACACAATTTAAATGAAATCTCTACTGTACTGACAACAAGGAGACCAGTGGCACCTAAAAGCAATTTTATAATGGCATAAAATGTCATGAGTTGCAACTGGAAGGTTATTGTCCCTGACTCTATAATTACTTCAGAAGAGTCTCAGGTCAGTTCATCACCAATCACTGAAGCAAGAGAACATTCCACAAACTGGGATACTGGGAAGCATTCTTTAGGTAATTTGTAAGTTGATTCATCTTTTGGGTCCACCTCTTAGACATGAGAAAAGTCTCCCTAATCTTCCATGGAGATTATTTGGTTTCTCCTTCATACATGCACATCCCCACAGAATAAGGACTCTTCTGCAAGAATAAGATCCAATGCATTGGTACTAGTGGATTTCAAAGGCTTTAATTTTAAATATGCTGCATACCCAAGAGCTCCTTTACTTGATTGTATACATCACCTGCTCTCTTGCAGAAAGCATCCTTCCTTGTGAGCCCACCCTCAGATAGTGTCCTCTGTCCCAGGTAGAGATCAATCCCTTTTGGGTGACATTTTCCCAACCACATCAGTAATGAGAGACATGTTAATTGCATGAAGCATTGTCTCCAGCAGAAGGCTGAAAATACACCTTCCATTACCAGATATCTGCATTACTGAAGAAAAGTCAATACACCTGCACAAAACAGAGGATTGTAGTTCTCACTTGGATATAAAAGACCTAAATTCATAAGACTAAATAAATCTTCCTTAAAAAACAATAGTTTTTGCTTCTTGTTAACACATATTCACACTGGCAGGATTTTATAACTGACCTACCACTATACCCTTTACAGTGAAATTGATTTTTGTCTGTCACCCTAAGGGTGTGACCCACAATGGCGCGAATTATGGAGTCAATATTATGAACATATTGTGCAGACAGTAATGTCAATAATAGCATATCAATGAATGCTGAGTGAAAAGCACCGAATTTTTCACAAATCTTGCATAAGCAAAATGTAATCACAATAGGTCAGCAGCCTCTAGAATAAATATAGTGCAAGCATATATCAAACAAACAGTTTGTATAAAGCAAAGGCCACAAACAGAAGGATTCTGTCACCAGAAACAAAACTAGCATGTATTTCCCTGCAGGTATGCAGAGCTGTAGTTTCCTGGAGTATCTTTCCATGTTTCGGTAACTTATTAAAATGTAGATACACACGTATCCAAAAACTTGTGGTTCAGAACTGCAGATGGGGAACCATGCACATGTACAGTTTAATATAATAAAACCTCTCCACGCCTTCACATGCATGAACACACAATGAGATAATGCGCCCCAGCACCACAGAGCTTGCTTTTCAGAGCCAGACATGCTGTCATAAGAATCCCTCAACTAGGGGCCTTTTTCTAATTAATGTCATGCTATCTGCATCCCGCACTAGGTCTTGTACAGAGGAATGTGAGGGGGATGTCAGGGGATGGAGGGAGGAAGGATGGCTGCTAGCAGGGACAATCTGGCTAATTACCTTTCTGAAATATTAGCTAAGCACAATGGACCTTTATATGGCTCAGGTAGAATCTAGGAGTGTGAAGGAGACGACTTTATTCTTTGCAAAAGGAAGCAGACTGAAGCAGGAGCTGACACAAGGCCAGTATCCCTTGGGAAGGTCATTGCACTGTATCAGCAGCCTTCCTCCTCTTGCTAATTTTTTCTCCACACAGTAAAACATTTCTAGCTCACAGTGACATTCAGCTCTGCCTTCAGTCAGCAAAACCTGTCTCTATTGTTTCAAAATCACAGCTCTCCCTCCTCCCCTTTTCAAATTCCTTCCTATTGAGAAAATAGAGGAGTTATGCTAATCCTTAATCTGATTTACGCGAGCCAGAGAGAAATGCGGAGCATTTCACTTACCTCCTCACAGCCAGGCAAGCAGGCAGCCACCACCTCTTCAATTCACCAGTACAAATGTTCACATCCACTAGAGCTTCCTCGTCTCTCCTGTGGCCCTGTTTCACATCAGTCACTAGCCTTCACAGGGAGAGGCTGGACAGCAGCTGCAGAGGCATTAGACCAAAAGCCCATCTGAGGGAGAAAATTTGCTTTTTACTCATTTTCTTCCTTAAAAAAAAAAAACCAGAAGCACTCGTCTGTGTCCCGTGGTCCCCTGGTGTGAGACAGGGAGGTGTTTAGTGATCACACAGAAGACAGCACGGGGTGGGGGGGAGTTTCTGGTTGGCTGTAGTGGGAGGAGTCGGAGGTAGAGAGCTTGTTTCCAAGTCAACAGAAGGTGGGGGTACAGCTATCTTTGCACTGAAAGGAGGACCACACTGGAGAGCACAGCTGGCTGAGGCGCTTGCTAGCTTGCAGAGGCACTGTACTCCGGGATTGGCCCTTTTGGAAGGCAGAGCCTGAATTGTCACACGTGTTCTCCAATGGGGAAAGCGCTGCTGCTTAGGGAGGGGAAAAGCAGCGCTGGAACCACGCTCACTGCAGCGCTTCGCTTTCTCTCCTTTCTCTTGCTCTTCCGCTGGTCGCAAGATAGGTCTCGTCGGATAAGAAGCTGTGCTGCTGAATGGGTTCCTTGTCTTCCGTGCTGTACTGCACACAGATTATATAATGCACTATGCAGACACATTTATGTGCTTGTGTTCATTTTACTCTTCCTGGGATGTTTTCCTCCTGCAGTTGTACTCCTGTCGGTCCCAGTCTAGATCAGTTTGATTATTTTTTAAAATAATTTGACCGTGTGTGTTTCTTTTCTAAGGCAGGGATGCTGTTGTACTAGCCACCATCTACATGCATTTTAGAACAGCAAGTCTCCTGAGGAAGTAGAACATAAGTCATTTTACTGGGGCAGAGTGTATTTTTATTATTCTGCTGCAGTTTTTCCTGCTCTCTTTTTCTTCTTCAAACACATTTTCTTCTTTGTTTTTCCTTTTACCTTTGACATTTTTCTCACTCTTTTTCCCTTTTACAGGTATATAATTGGCTGAGCATTGCTGTCTTTGGCACAGTGACTAATTTACCTGGGAAATGAATGCATTCCATTACCATGTTAATGCCTGCAGTTATCCTACTTATTATTTCCCGTGTCTGTTGTTGACTTTTTCCATTTAATTCTGTATATCAGTAGTCTCAGGATTTGTGATCCTCCTGTCCTGATTGCTTAATACCTCTTCTTAGCTGTATTTCACCATTTGGCATCTCTGGGCATCTGCAGTGGAAGTAGAAAAGGTGAAAGCTGTAGTGTAAATTGGCCTGGTGATTTTAGCATCCAGTAGGGCTAGTCTTTCCTTACAACTTCCACTGTTGATACCACTGGCTGAACTGCTGAATTTCAATGCTGAAACTGTGATTCTAATTATAGGCCCATCTAATGCCCCTCCCCAAACCTCACAGCACATGTTGAAAAAGATGTGCATAGTTTTCATGCTTTGAAATTGTTGGAAAAATTATATGCTGCTGCCTTCATAGACAATCCGTGAATGTCACTTTGTGATGTGAAAGTCTTGATAAATAATTATTTGAGAAAGTAGTCTGATGAGTGTGGTGAATGTGGACCCTTTCCCCCCCATTATGTCTCTCTGTAGCAAGATGCCATGAAATCCTTCTCTTGTATAACACTCGATATATACTATAGCTGGGTCCATGCTGTTGCTTACCCAAGTATTTGTTCATCTTGACATTGTCAGTCACTCACCAAAGCTGAATTCTTGCTTATTTACTGGCATTTTGGGGAGGAATAGGACCAGTCAAAACTTTTGGAGTTTTACAGAATTCATATATGTTGAGTTTCAATGTAAACTTTTATAAAATAGAAATATGAGAGAAGTTGCAAATCCAGTAGGTTTTTGTCTAATTTATTTCACTGACGTTTTTGATTTGTGAATAACAATATCAACACA